CTCCCGCCCAGCCGCGGGGGGGTGGGGGGGGGGAGGCCTTCCAGGTGACAGAGGCTGGAGAGGGAGAATGGCAGCAGGCGGAGCTCACTGGCCTAGGAGGAGAGGAGAGAACAGAGGTGAGCGCTGCTTGGCCGCCCCGCCTCCCTCCTCACGGCTGTCCTGCTGGCGTCCCTCCCACAAGCCCTGCAGCTGCAAATGAGCCTTTCCTGCCTCCCTTTCTCTGTTGTTGTTGTTAATCCTGGGCCCTGCAGCTGCAAATGAGCCTTTCCTGCCTCACTTTCTTTGTTGCTGTTGTTAATCCTCACCTGAGGATATTTTTCCATTGAATTTTAGGGAGAGTGGAAGAGAGAGGGAGAGACAGAGAGAAACATTGATGTGAGAGAAACACACCGATTGGTTGCCTCTTGCACAAGCCCCAACCAGGGCTCGGGCCGGGGAGGAGCCTGCAACCAAGGCATATGCCCTTGACTGGAATCAAACCTGGGACCCTTTGGTCCACAGGCTGACACTCTATCCACTGAGCCAAACTGGCCAGGCATTCCTCACATATATATATATATTAGAGGCCCGGGGCACAAAGATTTGTGCAAGAATAGGCCTTCCTTCCCCTGGGTGCCGGCACTGGCTTCCCTCCAGCGCCTGGGACCCAGGCCTTTGCTCTGGCCGCCACCTTCCGCTTTCGCTCCGGCCTGGAGCTGTCTCCTGCCCGCTCCAGCCGGCTCCGTGGCTGCCACCCAGAGGCTGGTCCTTGGTGGCCGGCCAGGGCTTGCGGGAAGCTTGGCTTCCTTTGTTGCTGGGGTGACAAAAAAAGCCAAGCATCCCGCCTGAAGGAAGCCAAGTGTCCTGCCTGTTCTGGCCAGCTCCGTGGCTTCAGCCGGCGCCACCATCTTTTTGGCTATGGGCACCACCATTTTGTCGTGGACTGACAGTTAATTTGCATATTACCCTTTTATTAGTATAGATGCTAGAGGCCCGGAGCACGAAATTCATGCATGGGGGGGGGAGGGAGTCCCTCAGCTCAGCCTGCACCCTCTCATAATCTGGGACTCCTAGGGGGAATCCTGCTAGCTTAGGCTGGATCCCACATCTGCCTGCCTGATTGCCCCTAACCACCTCTGCCTCAGCCCCCACCACTGTGGCTTTGTCCAGAATGACGTCCGGAAGGTCATTCAGCTGTCCAGTCTAATTAGCATATTATGCTTTTACTATTATAGATTGATTTCACAGAGGAAGGGACAGGGAGTGAGAGATAGAAATATCAACGGTGAGAGAATCATTGGTCAGCTGCCTCCGGCACGCCCCACACTGGGGGTCAAGCCTGCACCCCGGGCCTGTGCCTGACCAGGAATCAAACTGTGGCCCCTGGTTCATAGGTCGATGCTCAGCCACTGGGCCACACCAGCCGGGCTCCCTCCTCACTGTCTTGACCCATGGTGCTCACTTTTCTTTCCTCCTTTTTAAAAACACGTATCCCGTTTATCTTCGAAAGAGCGGGAGAAACTTCCCAAGAGAGAAAATGGATCCGCTGCCTCCTGCACGCCCCTGCTGAGCATCGAGCCAGCAGCCTTGGAGCATGGGACGGCGCTCAACCACCCGAGCCACACCGGCCGGCCGCTCTCTTAATTCACACTTTATCGTTCATGTCAGCGCATGCCGGCTGGGTCTGGGGCCCTGCCCTTCCCTTGCAAACCAGTGGTGCAGGGGGAACCCTTCATGCCCACGGAGGTTTGCAGGCCCTGGGAGGCTGCCCCAGCAGGCGGCTTCCTGCACCGAGGTGACAGCGAGCCTGAGTCCCTCGGGAAGGAGGCGAAGGGCCAGCTGGGTGGAAGGAGGCAGGAGGCAGCGCACGGGCCACAGTGCAAAGCTGCTTCTCAGCCCGTCTCAGCTCAGGCCTCCGCCAGTCCCCATGCCTCGGCCCCTCGCCCTCAGGAGGCTGGCAAGGACGGGACGGGCACGAGGCTGGGGCTGTGATGAGGACCCGCGACTTGAATGATGTCAGAGGCACCGCATGCCCACCCGGGACCTCAGGGAGGCTGTGCCCATGTGGGGAGGGCGGGACAGGGGAAGCGTGGGGGTGAGCGAGGATGGCCTGCCGCCCCCGGCCTGGGGTAGTCACCTCATCCGCAGGGAGTCTCTCTACCTGCGCAGGGTCTCGGGCCTCAGTGAGGTCTCCACCGCCTTCATCTTGCCCTTGTCCAGGAGGACGAAGAGCGCACCAGTGGGCGAACGCCTAGTCGCGGAAGCAGGGCTCATCATGGGCACCGTCACCCACCTCCCCTGGCCCACGTAGAACTTGGACTAGAAGGTGTCCTTGGGGTCAAAGGGCGTCTTCCACTAGGCTGGGGGCGGGAGAGGTGGGCGGGGTCAGGGGGAGAGCTGTGAATGTGGGGGCTGCCCTGCCCCATCTCTTTGTTCTGGGTCCCTGGGCGGTGAAGACACTCCGCACCCCAACAGCCAATCCGCAGCTCCTCTTAGGAATGACCTGGCTGGGTTGGCAAGAACTCCTTGGCAGATGGGCGCCCCCAGGTGTGGGGGGAGAGGGGCTGGGAATGGGAGACCCGTTAATGGTGCTCATGACACACACACGGGAGTGTGGGCGTAGGAGACAGGAGAAAAGGGGCTGGGGAAAGGGAGGAGGCTGGACGGTGATGTGAGGGCCTGAGCCACGGGCACCCTCGAGGCTGTAGGAGAGCACATTCCCAGAGCTGGGCTGCCGGTGTTTGGAGGCTGTCACCCTGGAGATGGCCACTGTCCCGCAGTCTCCCTCCCTCCGGAGACCAAGGCCCGGCTGGGCTGGGACGGAGCCAGGCCCGGCTGTGCGGGCAGAGGCCGCCTGAGCACCACACCGTCCCTCGGGGAGGAAGCGCGTTCCCGCCCCTCCTGCCCATGGGGATTGGGAAGGACAGCAGCCTCCTCCCGGGAGCTGGGCCAGCGTCAGGCGGACGAGAAGGCCCCCCTGGCCCGACAGAGGTCAGTGGCTCCTCTGCAGCATGTGAGGGGGACACACTCACTTGGAAAACCCCAAGAGAAGGCAATGCCTCGGGCAGGGCGGGCATGGGCCCAGGCCCGTCTCCAGGCCCACGCACGCCCCAGGCGCCCTCCTCCATGGCAGTTTCTGGAATAACACAGGCTGCTGGGCCAGGAGAGCCATCGCCGGAAAGACCAGAACTGAGTCTGCGCCCCTCTGAGCCCGCGCGGGACTCATCTTTGAAGAAGATGTAGTTGACCAGGACCATGGCCGTCCCTGTGTCCAGGTCGCCGACCAGGTCCACCAGTTCTCCTGGGTCTTCTCCCTCACGAAGTCGTTGATGAGCCGCTGGCCGCGGGGGTGTCCAGAAGTCGGTGGAGAGCGCCTCGGAGGCCACAGCGCCTCGGCCTCGGCCCTGAACTGGTCCAGCACCGTCAGCTGCTCCCTGATGAACATGGCGTTGCCCACACTCAGCCGCAGCTGGCCGCGGGGCTGGCCCAGGGCGCGCAGGAGGCGCTGGAAGCCCTGGTGGATGTCCGTCCCCGAGGTCTCCGTGAGGTTGACCTGGAGGCCCTTGTGGATTTCCATCAGGGTGTGGCCGGGCCCCCAGGGACAGGAAGGTAACGCGGTGGAGACGCTCGTCGGGGAGAAGAGCACATTCTTACTGGGGTTCTTCCGAGCCAACTGCCTGCAGAGGCTGAAGGCACAGTCGGCTGGAGGTCAGTCGGAGGTTGTCCACCGGCGTCTCGTTGCCCGGGGCCACCTTCTGGTCTGGCGTGTCCCCTGGGAGGCCGTGGACAGTGGGGCAGAGCCCAGCTGCCAGGAGCCCCAGCACCAGGAGGACTGACATCCCTTCTGCCCTCAACTCTGAAAAGCGAAGCTGCTCTAAGTCTCAGGGGGCCAGGGGGGCCCGGACCGCCTCCCAGGGCCCCCACATGGCCTGCTTTCTGCCCCCCGCCCCCCCGCCCCCCCAGCTAGCTTTGTGGCCTCCCAGGGTGGCAACCTCCTAGGCACCCACCAGACGTAATGATGCTCTGTGCTCGCTCACATTTGTAGGTTAGCGCTGAAATTGTGGCCATTTTCCCCCCGGGGAGAAACGGCACAGAGAGGTGAAGGGGCTTGGCCAGGCTGCACAGCAAGGACTCCGACTCAGGGGAGACTGGGGAGTGCTGACGGCATGGGCACCCCTGATTACTCCCTGACCTTTCCCACAAGTCTGTGCCGTGCAGACCCCAGGTGTTGACTGGAAACCTTATGCGCAGTCCCTGGATGCCCTGCCTAGAGGGTGCTCGCTCACATTTGTAGGTTAGCGCTGAAATTGTGGCCATTTTCCCCCAGAGAGAAATGGCACCGAGAGGTGAAGGGGCTTGCCCAGGCCACACAGCAAGGATAGGGCAGAGTGGAGGCAAGAGCTGGGTCTGCCTGGCTCCCAGGTGGGGAGCTTGTGATGGGCGCGAGGTGCATCCTCCCCACGTGCTAGGCGAGCGGACACCAGCCGGAGGGGATCGGGTGCACGCACTTGCTTGGCGTGTGTCCCCTGTCCACCCCCAAGTAGGGCCCCAGGAAGGGGCACCGGGCGAGTCAGGTGCTGACTGCGGTGCCTGGGAGCAGTCAGGGCTCATGCAGACATTGGCCTGGCCGGCGTGGCTCAGTGGGTGAGCATCAGCCCAGGCACCAGGAGGTCATGGCTCGGTTCCCGGCCAGGGCCCAGGCCCAGGTTGCAGGCTCAGTCCCCAGTGTGGGGCCTGCAGGAGGCAGCCGACCCATGATCCTCTCTCCTCACTGATGTTTCCATCGCTCTCTCCCTCTCCCTTCCTCTCTGAAATCAATAAAAACATATTAGAGAGAATGATAATAAGGGGAAACAGAGAGACACAGATTTCAGAGCCAGGTGCTGCAGCAAACAGGGCCAATCATCTTCCTCTGCCCACTCAGCCCCAAGCCCCAAGGGGACAGGGCAGATGGGCTGGTGGCAGAGAGGGCAAGAGGAGGAAGAGGAGGAGGAGGAAGAGGAAGAGGAGGAGGGGGAAGGGGGAGAGTGGGGAGACGGAGCTGAGCTGATGACCATCCCAAACACAGTGGCATCACCTTTGGACAAGCCAAGAACAGAGGCAGTTCAATTGCCCCCTGTGTACTCTCCGCTTATGTAACCATTTCTTTGAAAAATAGTTGAACTTTTTCCCAAAAACATTGCTTCTGGAGAGAAAAGGCTTACTGTTTGGGCGAGTTGGCGGCTGGACCTGTCTCTAAGCAGCCTGCCTGTCTGCTTTGGCTGGAGGTGGGGTGGGAGGTGGGGGAATGGCTGGTGCCCAGGGACAGTCCCCATGGAGTCCCTGTGGCCTCTGCCCGGGGTGCATTGCAATCGTTCTGTCTGCACCACCTTGAGAGCTGCCCCTGCACCCGGCGAGGGGAGCACCCCGGGCCCCTCGGGGAGTCCTCATGGGGGGAGGATGCACAGCTCTGTGGGGGGGCACAGCTGACTCCAAGCAGAAGCCCAGTGCCAGGGGCAGAAGTGACTCCAGACCCCTCGTGGCGCGTCCACCCTTTTGCAGGTGTCCAGCTCAGGCCCAGACAGAGGCCTGTCCTCAGCAGCCAGGCCCACCCGGCGCTGCCACACTCCTCCTGGCCCCTCCTGCACACAGTCCACGGCTCCCGGCTGAGCCTGGAACTACCCAGGGAGGTGGGTTCCGTGGTGCCCAGTAGGTCAGCGCCGTGGATTACCTGCCTCGGAGAGCTGAGTGCCATGCGCGTGGTGTAGCCGCGGTGTGAGGCTCACTTATCCTGCAGGGGCTCCGCCCCTGCTTGGGAAATGCTGGCGGGACACCCGGTGTCCAGATGCCTGACTGGAAAGGGAGCACGGAGCGTTCTGGTGACGGATTTGCTAGAACGACCCAAATCATCCAGTTTCAGGAGCAGCTGAACTTTTGTCTCTTAAGCACAAACCAAGGCCTTGCCTCAGTTCGTTTTGTCCTTGTTGTGAAATACTCATTGAGGAACACGTAAGACTCAGAAACGCATAAGGAGGGACACTGAAAAATACCCCGATTCTTGTTCTTCAGAAAACAAACAAAAACACAGCCCCGACCTCTGTGGCTCAGAGGGGTGGGCGTCGTCCTGTGCCGCAAGTGTTGCCCCTCAGGATGCGTGCCTGGGTTTTGAGCTCTGTCCCCAGTTGGGGGTGTGCAGGAGGCAGCCGATTGATGTTTCACTTTCTTTCTTTCTTTTTTCTTTTTTTAAATATATTTTATTGATTTTTTACAGAGAGGAAGGGAGAGAGCTAGTTAGAAACATCGAGGAGAGAGAAACATTGATCAGCCGCCTCCTGCACACCTCCCACTGGGGATGTGCCCGCAACCCAGGTACATGCCATTGACCGGAATCGAACCCAGGACCCCTCAGTCCACTCTATCCAGTGAGCCAAACCAGTCAGGGCTGATGTTTCACTTTCACATTGACCTTTCTCTCCCTTCTTCTTTCTCTAAAAAGCAATAAAAAAAATCTTAAAAAAAAGAAGAGTTCATGGTCCCAGCAGGCAGCACCCTGTCACTCACTCTCCTTAGGAGTTTTCAGGAGCCAGGAGGTAGCACCAACCCTGGGCCCAGGAACTGTCTGTGCGGCTCCGATAGGAGCCCGGGGATCCCAGGTGCCGTGTGAGAAAGCAGGAGATGCTGGGGACCCTACTTCCCACAAACACAAGCAGAAACGTGGCAGGAGCATGAACTGCCCACCAACTGCCACCGGGCCGATGAGCGCAGGCCCACGGCTGGACGGTCATCTGTGTCAAAGTACCGTGTGGAGGTCCAAGACGGCATGGATCGGGTGGGAGCTACACTAACTCCTCCCGGGACCAAACTGGAATCACAATGAAATTATAGAAGAATCATCCTGAATGGTCAAATGGAGACTCGTGAAGAGAAGCCTTATAACCGAGGACTTACAGAGAAGCCACAGGGAGACTAGTAGGACGTGCGGAGGGGCGAGAGGGCTGCCCAGGTTCCGGAGGGATATCTCAGCTACGAGGGGTTTCCCCTGAGAAGTGTGGGAGCTGGGAATAGGTGCCCACTTAGCGTCTGCCTGTGTAAAGCAACAGGGTTTCTGACGGGCAGGAGAGATGGCTAGGGACACAGGCATCCTCGTAAGGGCCCAACACAAAATTTCATTCTCAGCCACTCACCCTGGGCTCCATTGGAGGGAGGGCAGAGCGAACTAGAACGGCATGCGGAGATTCTGGGGTTGGTGGCTCTGGGGAGAGAGCTGAAGGGTCAGCCACCAGGATCCCTTTGCTGAGTCATTTCCCCATTTCTCAGAAGTCATCTTTCTTGGGCTGTCCACTCCCCTTTGTACCACATCAGCCGAGGGGGGAGGGGAGGAGTAGCCACGCCTGCTGGAATCCCTCTCGCCCCACCCTGCAGCACTCACCCCTGCTGAGGAGTACAGCCAGCAGCTCTCTCAGTGACTGAGCCGAACAGACAGCCTGCAGGCAGGGCTGATCTCTGGGGATGGGGAATTTTGCTGACCTGCCCCCAAGGGCCTGGTGCTGGTAAAAGCCAGCCTTCAGGGGCAGTTTGGTCCTTTCCACACACCCCCAGGCCCAGGAGAGGCAGCCGAAAACCATGGGTCGCCGATAGCTCCAAACAGATTGCCCAGGGCCAGTCAGAGAAAGACAAGTACCATAGGACCTCACTCATCTGGAATCTGATGACCAAAATGAACTCACAAAATAGAGACAGACTCGGAGAGCAGGCAGACAGCTGTTGGGGGAG